GATTCTCGTGTAAGTTTAATCTGGAGATTTCATATGCATTTCATATGCTTTAATCTGGAGATTTAATATGCTTTAATCTGGAGATTTCATATACATTTCATATGCTTTGAAGGCTAACTCGGTGAATTTAAGTATTCCTGTTGCTCCTTTTGGCTTGATTAAAATTTCACGATGGATGTTTATAAGTACACTTGTTCACCCAGAACATGAAGTAATAAACACTACTATCATCCGGCTTTTGCAGACGCGCATCTTTACCGGACTTTACCACATGTACATAGCGTTAGCCTTCACCCGTTTTTAAGCATCCGCATTAATCCGTAACTATAACCTTAAAAATTGCGTTTATTAGTCTTTTTTCCCTTTTTTAATCGACATCTGTAATTTAAGGCGCCTGTCATTGCTAGCAGACTATTCAGGCTGAATTCGATGTGTTGAACGCCTGTGAGAAGAGTCCACCCCTTTTCGGTGAAATCCTGGTGTGCTTTCCAGGGGCCAGGTAGTGTTTGTGACCTCAATGCCACTTTTATGCAGTTGGGATCCGAGTCGTCCCCCTCATTTTTGTTGAATGAAATCCTGCACCTTTGTGTGTGGACCGGGCAGTGTGGTGGCACGCCTAGACGCCGGTTTGTGTTGTGCCAGCTAGCCTCCCACACCCGGTCTTCCGATCGCACCGAGCCCAGGTGGATAAGAAAAAGAGAGTACGCTAGATGCGATACAAGTCTCCTATCACTTAAAGCTAGTCCACGCGCACGTCAACGTCCCTGCATCCACCAGTCTATGGGAAAACGGTTGACAACGGTGACGACGATCGATTTGTCATGGGTGTGCACCTCGAATGACTTGTGCTCTACTTTAACCTAGCCCGCGTTTTGGTCCAGCAAATCTGTGCGTGGCCCGTTGTGGAAGGACAATAATAACGCTTTAACTACTACTAAGTCGTCTGTTAATTGGTCCGCTTAGTAACTAAGACGGCTGAAATATCCTCCGGGCTCAAAAATGGTCTTTGGCGAATTGTTCAATGAGAATTCCGATTCGTTCGAAAAATAATAGTACTCTCTGCCTTCCTCTTAGATTGAAAAATTAACTACTGCTAGCCTAGACGTCCTTCCAATCTAGCGGTAAACTGAGGAACATGAACTTGCCAGGTTTTCACAAAACCTAACTTAAGAGGCATGATGGGCACTTAAAAGAATATTAGTGGAACAGTCTGTTGCCTGCTCGATCTCCCAACGCACGACCACCAAAATAGCATTTTAAAACATTGTTTTCCCAGAACAAGGCAAAGATCACGAGAGTAGTAGAATGTATTGACGTCACATCCTTTCGCGACTTCTTATTCAACTGCAAACGGTCATTGCCTATTAATAAATAAATTAACTGTCTAATTAAGTATCCGCCTATAAGGGTGAGACTTGATGGGTATATAGAGTAGGAGCCAGTAGTCTTAGAGGTGGGCGCATGGCGAGGGGGTAGAGGAGAAGGCAGTTACCACAACAAGGCAATTCAGTGAGAGCCTGTGACGCGTCGTTAAGGTAAGGG